TAACTCTTTTGGTGCCTTTTGTGATAATAAATTAGTTGGTTCATTTCTTATTAATGCTTACAGTCCTCTGCTAAATTAGCATGGTTGATACTAAATCTCTCCCTAGACTGTAACATTTATGGTGCTGATTGTGTAGATAATACAAAAGAAAAACAGAAGTTAAATCAGTACTTTGAATGGATAAATAAAATAAAAATTGTGATAAAGACAATAAGAAATCGAGGAATATATCAGTAATGAACAATAAAGACAATAGTTTAATGAACTTACAAAAGAACGAATGAAGTTATATGTAGATAGATCAATGACAATGTGGAATAGTAAATAATGATAATAAAGAGAAAAGGGTGAATTGATTCAAAAATAACAATAAATTAGTGGATATTGAACAGGATGAAGACCTGGAATAATAATATGCAACAAGGATACTCAGTGCATATGCAAAATGATGATCATCTCTTGAAAGAGCCTACCTTGTTAGATGAACCCAATCCTTCGATAAATTTGATCCATGTTTAACCATTTTGGAACAAACTTCTTGAACATATGACAAATCTTATAACAAGACAACAAGAAGCCCCAAGTGAAGCAAAAGAATATCACTTTGTACATATACTGGTATTCATAGGCGATAATCAAAACCCTATAGAATGGCTGGAAGCTGTAAATAGGGTGTTCAAAGCTAACAATATAGTAGGAGATAAAAGACTTTCGGTAGTTAGCGCATATTTTTCCGGGCTTGCGGCGTTTTGGTGGAAAGGTCAAAAAGCAGGAAAAGCTCTACAATACTGGGATAACGGGTTATATCTGGATCAGAGCTTTGTATATCAATTTTATACTAACTTTTGTACTCATGCTCTAATAACTCAATGGAATTCTGAACTATTATCAAGGAAGCAACGTGTCAGAGAAATGGTCAACCAATATGCGACAGATATGTTGATCTTGTTTCGTAGAGTAATGAAAGTGGGTAACCAATACCTGGAGATTGTAAAGGCGCAAATGTTTGTGCAAGTCTTCATCCTGATCTGTTGATAACTCTTAATCCATTCATGCCTAGTATGTTACAGAAAGCAATTGACAAAACCTGGACATGCGAAATGATGTTTGCAAGAGGCTTGGCTACGTGTAGATCTGTGGCAATTTATAATAATATATTGGGTTCTTCGCCTTAACTACTATACCTGCAGCAACTATAGATGCCACAAATGCAACAACAATGGATGCCTCAGTCTCAGCAACAATAGATGCTCTAGTCTTAGCAACAATTGATGTATCAGTTACAGCAGCAATGGATGCCGCAGCCACAACAACTACAAATATTGTGACCTCACATATTGGCACAACCATTGTTGCTATTTTAGTCACCAATAAACCCGCTATTGGATACAAAGCCCAAGATTTGATAGGCCAGATAATTGCTTTGCTACAAGAAGTAGCAATAGCTATAAAGAGCAATAATAGTAATAACAGTAATAATCAGCCTATTAATAATGATAATCGTCAGGACCGAAGTGGTTGAGGACCTACCTGTTTCTTATATCAGCAACTGGGCTACATTGCAAGAGACTATCCAAACAAGATTTGCCATAGTGATAACTGTGAAATTTGCCTCAAACATTGGCTTTTGATAATCGAGGCCATGTTGAAATAACAGCAATATTCAATCCAACAATGAATCACAGGCTCAAGCACTGTTTGCTCAAATGGAGGACAGAGTCAGGCATTTAAACTAGAAGATGCACCTTTAGAGGGTGAGTGTGCATCAATGTCGAAAAACCCTCAGTAAGAAAAATCAAAGAGGCTTATCTGAAAAGTAACAATGCAAGGACACTGACAACTTTGACGAAGTTGAAGCCTTATCTTAGAATGAACCTGCGAAAAAGGTTGTTGAAAATAAAAAGGCAGATATAACCTATACCCAATTATTTCAAGTTGCACCTGATGTTTGAAAAGATGCTCTAAAGTTATTGCGTCCTGGACAGGTCACCAAAGTGAAGTTTATTGATTTTTGTTTAAGAAAAACTGATGAGGATTATACAACATTGATGTATTGTAATACCAAAGTAAATGATATGCCAATTGTCCTTATTTTGGATAGTGAGTTTTTGAGTTGTGTAGTGTCTGTAGGTTTCTTGAAAGAAGCTAGCATTGCAATTGATTGATCTTCAACCATGTTGATGACTGGAATTCACAGTAAACAAAAACAACAATTAGGTGAAGTTGATTGGTTCCCAGTAACCATTGGAGAAAAAACCATCACCTCTCGCGCTGTAGTAACAGATGCTGTGAATTATGCTGCAATTGTTAGAAATGATTGGATAAAAAAAGCTAAGGCAAAACTCGATTGGGAATCTTGCAAATTAATGATTATGGATGATGACAAAGAAATCAAGATTTCAACTAAATATTGCAAGCCAGCAAATATTAATAATTGTGTTAAGGCTAAAGACACAAATGTGAAAGTAGAAAAGAAGCAAGAAACGCTGGTTGATTCCGATGATGATAATGATGATAGTAGTGAAGAGTCTGATAATAGTGAAGAAAGTATGGATGAGGATGTTGAATAAGCATTAATAAATCAGGAATATTTCTTCCACAAGTTTTACTATAAAGAAAAGAATGATCAGGATGAACAAACAAGTCATTCTTTACCTGAAAGGCTCTTGGACAAAGAAACCTTGAATCATGAATGTGAGAAATGGGTGGAAAAAGTTAGTGAATTTTGGATGATGGCATATAAAGAAAAAAAATAAAACTTACCGAAAAAATGGTTGAAACAATTGTTGAAAGTAATATAGTTGATAAACGATTCAATGCAGGAGAACATGATAATCAAAAAGGAAAAGGTCTTGATGAAATAAGTGATAAATGAAAGATAATCGGGAATATTAGTTAGGCGATACAAATTAATATAATTGATTTTCATATCCCGGCCGGGTCAGTAAAACGAGATTCAAAAATTTTTTTTTTTTTTACCAAACTAATCTAATCATGTCGGTTGATTACATTGGTGAACTGGGATCTACGTATGTACTGATAAAATCTATTTCTGCTTTTCATTATACTAACCCAGTCCCATTCGATCCTCAGGATTCCACCAGGATCAAAGACCAAGTTGTTAAGGTCACATGTATATGCTGATATCATTAATACAGCGATTTTTACCAAACCGGATCTGAATGGTGTTACCTTTTCAGGTTTGTCTCCAGTATATCTTTGACGCCGTTTAGCACTTTTATCATTATTATTGCTACTAAGGCCACACAAATTTAATTAATTGATTTTCATATCATGAACGGAGGTCTAGTGACACGGCCGCACGGATTTT